ACGACTAAAAATTGCATTTTTTTAAAACTTCTATATCTTTATCTAAGCATGTGTAGCGACTTTTTGAAAAAAAAAGGTTTTTCCCGGCTCCAGTTGGTCATACACTGAAAAAAGGATTTATTTGGACTAAATAAATATCGTTTGCCATGAACTAATCCTAGTTTTGNTATCCACACATATGAAATATCTAAAGTGATACTTTATCCACTAGTAGAATTAAAGAACACTTTTTCGTAAAATGTTCCCTGGATTTCGCTGGCAATAAATGGAAAATCGCTTATTGAGCTTCTTCAAAAACAGCCACAGGAACACAATTTGAATTTTTTTCCCGTTGGGTTTCTTAAAAGATGGTTAACGATAATAATTTCTGACTTTCACGTCTTGAAACTAGAAACTTGAAGCTTCAATTTACTTCTCTTTTATTGCTGTTCGCTGAAAATCACCTAAAAATTTAAGTTTTTTTTATCCTTTAATTTTTGTGACTAGTGTATATCGAACAACTTTGACTGGCATAAGCTGAATTAGAAGAAAATTGTGTGTGATAAAGTAAATGTTGTTGAGTAAAAGTATATTTTTTTACACCAAGCTTCCAAACTCGTATAACTTAATTATTATGCTCCTACATTTTGGTCGGTATGCAGGTTAAGAATGCAATTTGATTTGATGGAGCATATGTGAGGCAAGAATGTGCTACTAAAACGCTATTTCCAGTTCCTTTCTAATACAAAAAAATTCTTTCGTTACAACTTCTCGAATGGTAACTATCGGAAATTAAAAATATTCCGGTCAATCCAAACGGGGCGTGTTTTCGTATTCAACTTCTTTAAGCATTAATTTGTAACATTATTCGATAAATTATATAATTTTATTATCTAATATTATAAAGAGATAATCCATCTGATGTCATCTTCTTGCAATAACATTGTTTTGTCCTGACAAGAAGTATGTTCTAACTTGATTCGCATACGTACTTTTTCATATCATACAAAAATTTTAAAACGAAAACAAAAATTCACTGAACCCTCATGAAACACTGAATTAATCAACTTTATAAGGCTTTATTATACTTACATTGGACAAAGGCGCCTTACAATCTAAAATATGCGATGGTAACGTTTTTTTCCAAAAAAAAAACTAAACATTTTAGAAAACAATGTTTTAGACAAAAGTTGTAGAACTTTTGAGAAAAATTTTGAGCTCAGCCCGATAAATGCATTAGAACGACTAAAAATTGCATTTTTTTAAAACTTCTATATCTTTATCTAAGCATGTGTAGCGACTTTTTGAAAAAAAAAGGTTTTTCCCGGCTCCAGTTGGTCATAGGACACCTTTTTTTTTTTAAATTCGTTAAAAAATGTCAGCTTTCAAATGGCAAGCAATAATGCCATTCCGATTAAGAAAGTCCCAAAAAAAGATGTCGATCAATTTTTCCCATATTTCCAATTATTTTGCAATACGCGCATAATTTGCACAGGAAAGTACACCCCCTTAGAGAGAAAGTCCAAGATGGGTCACGTAAGTGCATTACTGTATGATTTATTGAAACTTAAAAAAAAATGTATTTTTTTCGAAAAACTCAATTTTAGCAAAAACTATCAAATATTTTGCAATTATACAAAAATGCACTTACTACACTTGCCAAGAACTACACATTCTGAAAGTTTCATAAAAAACTATTTATTCGTTTTAAAGATATAGAAGTTTAAAAAAAAAATGCGATTTTCTGCCGTTTTGTTGCAATAACTAATACATTTTTATTATAAAAAGTTCTACAATTTTTGTCTTAAACTAAAAGTCTAATCTAAAACTAAAGTCCTAATGTTTAGTTTTTTTTTATGAATAAAACTGCTTTTTGCGAAATTTGGACGCCATTTTGAAAATGAAGCCCTAACATTGAGCTGGCGTAAAGCAGTTTTTTCAATTTTACGGAATTTTTCCTAATTTGTACGTGTACCATTATTTAATGAACTAAATTTTGGCGCGTGGAAATCTAATTTGATTGGACTAAAAGAAGAAAATTCCAAAGCATTTGCGATAATCGAGATTTTCCGAGAATTCCTCACCACATTTATGTATATATTACCCAATTAAGAACATTCATTCTTCCGACTCCATATTGCCGTTTGCCTTGTATTGATTCCTGACAGATTTATTGATGATGCACCTCTTTATAAACATTCCAAGTATAGATAGAACTAGCACGCCGTGATCTAATACGTGTTCGTTTAATTTCTACGTAAATTGCAGTGGTGTCGTATTGTTATGAATGTACGCATTCAAAAAAATAGTCGAGTTAGAATTAGTTTTCTAAACTCCCCTTTAATCCTTTTTTACGCTGCTAGGACTTACCCTGGTAAGTTGTATCATTACACTGTCAGTGTTGCCAATTAATTTAATAAAACAGATTGTTTTTGGATGATGTAGCGACGTGTTATTTTAAAGTCAAGGCTAACACGATCCGTTGTTCGAGATCACATCAGCTTGCCTAGCGGCGGGGTATGAGAATCACTAAAAAGAGGTAAAAAAACAATTTTTACGATGGAATTTGGAAAAACAGACTTATGATTCGTGTTTTTAAAAGTCAAGTCATATGACCCCAATTATATCTATCAATCTAATCGAAAAGTGAAATATACAAACAAAACAAGCACATCTTATCTGTGGTTAAGTGTTTTAATGCTCTGTGGTCATATGGCACTAACATCGCAATCTCATACTCAACGTTATGGAAAACAATTTCTATAAAATCGTTGGAAACAAATAAATTTAACTATACACTCAACTTCAGTAAAAACTCGTGCTACCGCAGTGACCAAACTGGGTCAAAATGTCAAGTGGCGAAAAGAGTATTTTAAGATACATCTTAAAAAAAACCGAATTGAATTAGACCATAAATATCTTTCTTACAACTTTAAACATATATCGCATTATACATATTTATTATAACCATATCCGGAGGCCGTCAACTCGTTTAACTTAACACCCTGTACGAATAATAAGAGCATCACGAAGATACCAGCTCGCCTTCACATTAGTTTCACCTGATTGCATTCCGCAGTGTTTCTGTATTATGCCTCGTGGTAATTCTACCGGTCAAGTCGTTCTATACGAGCCTGTAACTTTGTTACTGAATTATTGCCTAGTCAAGGTCTCATTGGTAAGATGTGTTCTTAAATCTTGCTTCTTGGTCGATGTAAAGCTGAACCATGTGTGATAATTGAATGTATAGATTGTACATATTATTACCTTCACGAAATAAATTTCTTGAACGTCTTTTCTGATAGCTTTTCAATATTGCATACACCTTTTCCTTCGAAACTTTGTCTCAAGAAGATTTCCCAATTTTTAAAAGAGAAACGTTTTGGAGAAGTCAACAGAATTAAATCCATGGAGTAAGTTCGCTGAATTTGTTGCAATGTAATCGTTAAGTAAATAAGTAAATTACGTTTGCACGATATCTAGATATGTGAAAATGCAGGGATTTACATTGTACAAGGGATAATTTAAGAATCGTTTAGATTCGAATAAATATAAAGAAAATATACCTGCGTATCCTAAAATCCATACAGTATTCTAACAAAAAAGTTAATATTCGAGGCAAAGAAGCATTATGTCTGTCACACCACTTCAGTGAGAACTTTTGTCACTACGGTGATCAAAGTGTGTAAGGTGATGCAACAGTGAAGTAATCAATTCATTTACACAACTTTCGTCTGTTTCCGTCCGCTATTTTGTAAACTAAACACTAATTATATGTAATTATTATTATAATAAACGACAATTCTGTTTGTTAAGTCATTATGTCTACTTATATGCAGTCTATAAGTAGAACTTAATTAAATTTGACAACCAACAGGTGACAATTCGACTACTTTCAAAACAATTCACAGAATCAAGTGGTTAATTACATAAATCAATATCCAGTTATAGCTGTAGTTCTATATAATTTATACGAAAACATGTCCACGAGGTAGACATAAAACCAAATGAATTTTATCTGCTCACTATAGTAAATAGACTATTAATACATTGTTTTTAAGGAGATAAGTGCATTTTACCGTAGAAGTGGAAGTTGCTATGGACAAGGGAGGTAAGTGAGGTAACTTACCTCTCTAGGGAAAAAAGCGATTTCGAGTTATAAATGCATATTTTATGAACAAGCAAATAGAAATATTTGATGAACATTACATTTTATTAATTATTATGAATGAATATTTATAGTAATTGTGCAGTTATTACATTTAGTAGCATTTATAAAATCTGGATAATTGTTCCCCTCGCGTTTACCAATTATCACATTTTTCTCAAAATGATTTGACCGCTCCATTTCAGTCACCGAAGGCTCAATATTATCTGACTGAACCATTAAAACAGCATGATGGCTATTTCATTTTTGTTACTTAAACTGTCAGCAACATAACTTTCCGCAATTGTTGCTGATTTCCAGCCATCATGTCTCTTGATTGCTAATACATTAACACCTGTATTATCCAGTAACGTTGCCGATGTTCTTCGGAATGAATGGCCTGTATATGTTTCAGGATGTTCTAGTTTCAAAAACTGTGCAATCTTATTAGGAATCATAGAAAGGGTATTCTTGCCGACTCGTTGGTTGTAACATCTACCTGCTTGATAGCGCATAAAAAATAGATATATTTCTTGAGAATTTCTAGGTGAGAAACAGAACCCAGACGAGAAGTAATGGTAAATGTACGTGACATACCATAACAGGAGCTGGTATTAATAACAATAATGAAAGCAATAAATAAATTCGCTAAAATAAAATGGTCAGATATTACAAAAAATTATTGCACTGAAACTTTGAAGAATGTGTTATATTATTCATTATTTATTTACATCTTGTTTACCCTTAAAAGAATGTCGGTAAAATACCTCGTCCGGCAGTATTCAAATAACATCTAGGAGAATTTACTGGTAAGGGAATTTATATTACCCGTGTTATCTTTCTCAGCGGTTTATACACCTGCAAAACAAGTTATAAATTAAGCTCACTTGATTTCAATGACTCTAGTTCTTCACCAAAATGTTGGCAGGCAAGTCTGTAGTGAAAATTATTCACTTGCATGTTATATTTGTGTTTTTCTTTGGCTGTTGTGCATCCGATTGTGTTAATAAGACTGGAATTCATCAAGGTAAGTTTTTAAATTTTTATTTAACTAATAATTCTAATCGTAAAATGAATTTTAAAATTGAAAACATCAGTGAGTACGACAAAGAAGGCAATTTTTTAACATCTACAAAATTCTTATTCTATTAAGTGACGTGGAAACTTTCAAAGCTAATTTTTTATATCTTTTTTGTTTCTTTGAGAAAAATTTGAAAATTAGCCACACTTATAATAAATTTAATTTTGTGATTATTATTTGTATACTTATCTACATATTTAAATTTAACTTCACTCACATTCTTTTGGGCGCGCCAATGCCTTTGAAAAAAAATTTAAACGAATGAGGGTACAACCAAAGTTACGTATTAATTCCAGATCTAGCTAAAGCTTCGATAGGGGAAGCTTTGCCAGATGTACCATTAGAGAAATTTGGAAATAAGTATTACTACTTTGGAGCAATATATGAGGTACGATTTATTTTAGTTTCGATTGTAATTTAATATCTCTGTAGATATGGGAAAGTAAAATAAGATTTATTCACTAATTTTTTCATTAAAAAAATCAGTTGAGTGTTCATATTCTAGTTCTACCTTTGAATTGTGATTCTCAATTGTTTTTTTTAACAAAAGTAATGAACTAGTGAAAATTCATATTTTATTTTTTCGATATCGACAGAAGCAACACAGTTACAGTTAAATTTAAGGATTTCGCGCGATGATCCTGTAAATTCATTACAAAATGTCACTATTTCATTTTTGTATCCATAAACATAATTTATTACAATTAGTTATAGTTTATTTATTGATTTGTTTGTTCTGATTTCAGGGAAATTACTTTCAAGCAATACAGTACTGCAATTACCACAGAATGACGCTTTTGAGCATTGAGACGAAAGAAGAGAACGATTTCTTATTCGAAAGATTTAGACATTTCCGTACGAATTTTTTTAATTTATATTTTACGAAGTGAATTACTACACTTACGTAATTTTCAAGTCCAAGTGAAGCTAAGTTTGAAAAAGGCCCACATATAAGAATTTCGTTTTTGACACAACAGAAATCTCATTTTAATCTCCAAATAGAGATTTTAATTTATACAGGGTGTACCTTTGAATAGGGTCCATATTTATGCGGAGCCTATTTTTGACCAATATTACAAACATTCAATACTTATCGATGTGAATAATTCTCCTGACAAAAAGAATGTTCTCACAATGTCAACAATTTTTTGTAGTTTTATACATGCTTTTTCCATAACATCACACAGGAACTCGAAAAGGAAAACACAAAAGTACGGTGTAATTGCCATAAAAACTTCACAAACACCTTCTGGTAAACCAAGCTGAAAACTAAAATAAAAATGAAGTTATACGGCACTTTAACTGAACAGCAGAGTCTAACCACCGCTGCCCTTCGTAAGCCTTCGGAACAGGATGGCATTCTGGTTAAATTTAAACTGTTCACGATTCAAACACGTTACTGTTTTGTTTACTCCCGCAAAGGTACACCCTGTATTTTTAGTTTATAAATATAAATATAATCTCGTCTCGTTTCATCAAACCAAATTACGAAATTAATTAACTTCTTTTAGTTGGATGGGGAACGTATCACTTCTGGACGTCGGGAACCACCTTACCAGACGCCCACTGGGTTTGGCTCAGCACCGGAAGACCAGTTTTGTTCGCCAATTGGTCACCAAATCAACCAGATAACTCGGGAAATAATGAAAGTTGCATAGAAGCCGTTTACGTTCATACAAACAAAGCTCTTGTATGGAACGATCACGTGTGTGCTCTTCCAAAACATGTTATTTGTGAAACCCTGGACGTAAAATGTGCCGCTTGACAACATTTATGGGTTAATCAACAAACATTTGCTCATAAAAATATATTATTTCCGGGTTTAAGTTTAAACATTACTACCGTATTAAGTTTAATGCAAAAAGTCTGAAAGATCTAGACAGTGTCTAGATCTCCAATAGATACTGCATTTTTTATAGGGACTATATTTTTTATTTATAAGCATATGAAAAGAATATTATCGCAAAGCAAACCATAAAGAGGAAACCGTAATCAGAGGATGCGTTTTTCAAGGGAAAACCGTATCTCTATTTATCACATGTCCACAATTCCATAATTCTTCTAGTAATAAATAACTTGAATAATAATTGTTGTATTTTTAATTTGTCTGAAACATAACAAAGTCAACCTACATAACAATTAATAGACATGTTTTTTGACACATTTACCTTTCCAAATAATGCCTGCAATTAAGTAGTATGTATAATAAATTAAACAAACATGAAGGTTGAGATGAAAAATATTGTCTTATGTACGTAGCTTAATATACATATTTCCATAGTTGGCTCACATTATTGACATACAGTGGGAAAACATTTTTATTCGAAAATCATGCAGCAATTTAATTGAAACAACTAAAATTTGTTTATTACCAACATAGCCGTTGTTGGCTGTTGATCATGGTTGTTGTTAGTAACACCGTTGAAGCCACTATAAAAGCTACATAGCAATTTACTTTTAAATTTTCATCCATTGCAATGTTTTGCTTGAATAAAAAATAATTGTTTACAAGATACATACAAGAAATTTTACATGTTAAACAATGCATAGTTGGTAACACTACTACAAACTAAACAGATTGCAGCAATTCTGTCCCATTGTGTGATAATAAGCATACAATTTTATCTCCGCAACAAAATCCCCGCAATTTTATCGCTGCAACAAATTGCATTGTCTGATGCAGGCTTTGGAGTTTGAGGAAACCGGTAATTGTTTAATGCTAATGCTCCAATCTTAATACGTCTGATGCTGTCGTAGGTGTTTTACCTTTTTTTCACCAGTTTACCATTTTTTCATTCACCATTTCTTTTACCAGTTTATCACAAGTTATCGACCTCGAATCATTATTTCTTTGTAGAAAAAAAGCCTGCATCTGTAAAACCCGGCAAACAAGCATATTCAAATCCCCGAGTTACATTTTACGATACGGGAATTTAAAATCCCCTCGGGTTATCTTGGCTTTGCGGTTGAAGCAAAACGAGTTATAAATGAAGATCGTCTCGTTCGTATCCCTCTAGTGTTACGCCAAAATGTTGGCAAGAAAGACCGTTGGGCAGATTATCGCGCTGCATATCATTTCTGTGTTTTTAATTAGCGGTAAAGCTGCCAATTGTATTAATAAGACTGTCGATTATAAAGGTAAGTTTTAACCTATCTTTTTAATAGCTATTCTTTAAGTGTATTGCTCTTGGCAGGATTGTAAATTTTAACGGTAATTTCAAAGTAGTGTATTGACCTTAGTGAAGAATTTCTTGATTTTTTAATTTAAAATATGCTTGTCACATATTTAAATAAATTTAAAATGTCTCCAAAACTGTTCTACTCACAAAGATATGCATAGGTATATTTTTATCACGATTTTTTTTAAATTACGCTGTAACCAATAATAATAGAAAAAAAAATCGTCTTCATAAGCTTTTTGTGATCCCCACGCTATTATGGGATAATTAAAAATTCCTACGGCAATGATTTTTTTATTCGATTTATCTGTGGTGAGCTAATATTAAATTTAAAAAGTAGTAAATAGAGAATGACTCGTTTTTTCTAAGAAAAAGGAAGATATTTCGTTTCTTTGAAACACAATTACATCAAATGAACTTCGCCGATTTTTCAAAATGTCAGTGGTGTAGAATTGCTGGGGTTTTCATTGGAGTCAGTCACTATAACACTACATCTACATCACTGCATCTACATCATCTACATCACTACATCTACATCCACATCACTACATCTACATCATCTACATCACTATATCTACATCTACATTTTAAATTTCTCCGCTGTGTATTATAAAATAATTTTATTTTCCCACAGAATTATTGAAGGGTTCATTAAAGGATACTTTGCCGAATATACCTTTGGAAAAATTTGGGAACAAATACTACTACTTTGGAGCTATATATCAGGTATGAATAATAAATAATAAAGGTATTTATTATATTGTAATGGCCCTAGCATAATATACTATTTCTATTCTAAATATTCAATTATTATACATATAACAGACAGATATTGTACTATAATGTACAGGATAATCGCACTTTTGGATTGGTTTCTCATTTCTTTAGAAGAAACAAAAAAAGTGGCTTATATATTTAAAAAAAAAGTGTAATAGCGAAAACCGCGTGTCGATATCCTTGATTCTATTTTGCTATTTTCTGTCATATTAAAAAATCTAAAAAAAATTATTTATTAGTCAAATATTTTCCCAAACAAAAAATTATGGAGCGCCAGAATCAACGGCAAAAATAAAAAAAAACCTTTTGTCCTTTCGTCGAATCAACTTTCCTTGAAAATCAAGCTCTAGACATTGAAACAAATGTTTTTTCTATATCTTCGGAAAATAGGAAAAATCCTTTAAAAAAGTGTCAAAATAAGACATCGTGCGTAATTTGATAAATAATTTGTTTTTTATTTTAGGGCAACTTTTTCCAAGCAATGCAATACTGTCACTATCATGGAATGAACCCTTTGAGTGTCGAAAGTGTGGAAGAGAATAACTTTTTGTGGGAAAAGCTGAAACCATTCCGTAAGCCTTTTTCTTATTAATTCGAAATAGAAACTCTCTGTTTCTGAAATAGTTTTGGGATTACATTTTAAAGACAGAATGAACAGAGGAGGCTAGCCTCCGTCACCCTGCGGAAAAGGATGGCATTCTGCTTAAATTTCTACAATTCGACACCCTCACTTGAGTTACACACATACAAATATTTTTCTAGTTGGTGCTGGGGAGTACCACTTTTGGACATCGGGTACCACCTTATCAGACGCTCACTGGGTTTGGTTGGCCACGGGAAGGCCCATCATATACGCTAATTGGTTCCCTACTCAACCCGACAACGCGGGAAACAACGAGAAATGCTTAGAAGTGAGATATGTCCCCGCAAGTAAGACTATGATGTGGAATGATCACGTCTGTACTGTTCCGAAACATGTTATTTGTGAATCCTCCCAGGCAAGCTGTGTTTCGAGCTGAAAAAGTACCTAGTATACAAAAAAATTAAAGCCAAGAAGGATTTAATTCAAGTAATGACTGATTTACACCCACTACAAATTTTATTGTAAGAACTTCCTACGCGTTGTTTAAGTTTATTACCTACATGTGTTTGTTCATTACTAAAATGTCAAATAAATTTTTTTTACTACTACTTGCCTTTTTTATTGTGTTTTGGTGTTTATTTTTGATAAAAAATAATTACTTTTTTAAAGTACGGTGTTTTTTCGGGTACTATACATGTAATTGAAATGATGTTAAATTGATTAAATTGAGTTGACTTCTACCCAGACCCTTCAACAATCCACAATATGAAAACATATTCATTTTACTTTCTCCGAGTTAATTTTGGAGTTTGAAAGAACATGTATGTTATTTAAAGATCTTACAGTTAAGGAATCTATCGTATGAGGTCATCAGAAGTTATTGACTTGATTTTTTTTGCGTATGCGTTTGGAAATACTGATTTTTTGTGTCTAGTTTAATGATACGAGAATTTAAATTTCCTTTGGGACATATTGGCTTTACAGTTTGCTGTACCTACCAGCAAAACGGGTTGCCAGCTATAAAATAAGACGATCCCACTCGAATGCTTGTAGTGTTTCACCAAAATGCTTGCAAGAAAGACAGTTGGACAAATCATAAAATGGTACATTATTTTTTTATTTTCGTTCAGTGGTAATAGTGCCAGTTGCATTAATAAGACTGTCGATTATAACGGTAAGTTTTTAAGTTTAAAATTGAAACATTAACAATTATTGTATAACAAAATTTTAATTGCTCCTAGAGTTGTATAAGGATTCACTAAAGGATACTTTGCCGAATATACCTTTAGAAAAATTTGGAAATAAATACTACTATTTTGGAGCAGTTTACGAGGTATGATAAACAAATAAGTATTAAGTTCGAAATTGATAAATGTGGGTTTTCCATTATAACTTATTTTAGAAATAAGAAGAAAAGTCCGATTTCTCACAATCCTTTTATTTTTTTAACATAGACTGCCGGTTTCGAGGTCAAACTTTTCCACCTCATCTTCAGGTTTTACACGGCTTCAGCTTATCATAGACAGTCTTTAATTTACAATATAATGTATATACAGGCTCGGAAACGGTAAGAGGTACGAAGTAGTTTAAATGGGGGCAAAGTTGCGTAATCAGGGGACCAACATTATACCTCTAAAAACTCAAGGCTAACATGATTAGTTTTCGAAATATTTGAAAAAAAAACGAAATTTGGGAAAACCGTTTTTGTTTCATTTCAGCCTTGTTTGAGGTGGTTTTGAAAAAAGAAAAACACTTTCTCGTGGCAACTTTTTGCCCTCTATCGAATGGCAAAATCAATTTTTATATGTAACGTTTCGTCTCTCCAGGACCATCATCATTTCATTTTTTTAAATACGACCCTAGAAATTTTATTACATTTTTTGCTAGCCTTCGTGACCCCCAATACTGTACTGCCTCAGCCCGAACCAGATTCAGACGTTTTGTCTCGAAACATTCATCTTCAGTGTGCTAGTTTGTATCTCTTACGGTTTTCGAGATCCCTGTAGTGAGAAGCGAATTTGTAACAGCCTGTATATCTTTCATGATAAATCTTCTAAGATTTCTTAGATGGCTATGTATTTTAAAGTTGGAATAGTTTCTATTAATAAGTAGGTTATATTGTAAATTGAACACTATATATGATAAGCTCAAGCCTTGTAGGACCTGAAGATGAGGTGAAAAAGTTTGACCTCCAAACCGGTAGTCTATGTCAAGAAAATAAAAGGATTGTGAGAAATCGGACTTTTCTTCTCATTTCTAAAATAAGTCATAAATAAGTATTAAATTGTAGTATTACATTAAAGAACATTGCCTTCTATCGCATATATCAAATATTAAAATCATAAACACCCCACAATGCACGATATTTTATTCATAGCGATACGTTATTTACAATTCACTTACCTCTTACTTCAGGGCAATTTTTTCCAAGCGATACAATACTGTCACTATCATGGAATGGCGCTTTTGAGCATTGAAAACGCAGAAGAGAACAATTTTTTGTGGGAAAAACTGAAACCTTTCCGTAAGTCATTTCCTTGTTATACAATAAATTTGTACCCGGATGATCCAAATCTAGTTTTAAAATACGAGAAAGGTATCTCTACAGACATTTAAAATATCGCAAAGAATTTGATAGAACACTTCTATTTTGCCACTCTCAAGAGAGATTACAGTAAAAAATACTTGCTCGTATAGCAGCGATTTAAATTGCATGCCTTGAAATGTTTCACGGAAGAATGTAATATTAATACCTATATGAATGCAGATTTCATTGCAATATTTGTATATTAAACCTGTTATCTACGTATTTCCGTACATTATTTACTCTGGACTAAGGATTAGCAAATTAATTTCTAAATTTATTTATGTCGATGTCATTTTAGTTGGTGCTGGCGATTACCGCTTCTGGACATCTGGTACCACCTTACCAGACGACCACTGGGTTTGGTTGGCCACGGGAAGGCCCATCATATACGCTAATTGGTACCCTAATCAACCAGACAACGCGGGGAACAACGAGAAATGTTTAGAAATCAGATATACTCACACTAACAAGGCTATGATGTGGAATGATCACGTTTGTACCGCTCCAAAATATGTTATTTGTGAATCGTTACAGGCTAATTGTATTTCAAGCTGAAGATATTCCTAGTATCTATTTTTTCTGTCTATTTTTCTTTTCTATCTATGTATTTCTAACTATTTGTTTGTTAAGTAAATAGTACGAAATAAAAACAATTTCGATACGTTGCTTTTCTATTCAAAATGACATAAAATTTACAAAAATAACAATCCCTTATTAGGTATATGGTTATGATTAATATCAATTTAACAAATAATGCAAAATGTGATTATTTCAAAGAACAGAAGATAGATAAAGATAAAGAAGAGCAGATAAAATAATCTTATATAGGTGAACACATTGGAATAGGAGAATTCAAAAACTTGCAATTAAGTTTTTAGATTTGTGCGTCGACTTCCAATTTGGTACGATAACACACTTAAGTTTAAAAAATTGCATTATACAGGTTGTGCAAAAATGTAGCTCTACCCCATGCTCCCTCCCTAGATGTCTTAAGATGCTGGGGAAGCCCCAGAGACTCCTGGAGACAACAGAGAGAGAGAGAGACCCTCTATTACAACAAAATCACTCTATTTCTATCGCACACTATAACACTGCCACTTTCGCACACAATCAGACAAAAATGACAGAAACGAACCTTCCTTTAAAAATACATATGAAAAAATGAAAATAGTAGCTAATTAACGAAATTATGATTAAATAACCGCTGAAGAATATCCGATCGTCTAAGACATAAGTATCTATTCGTTCATTCTTTAAAACATTTTTATCAATACCTATATTTAAGTAAATACAGTAACGCTAAAAATAGGCATTGATAAAAAAGTGTACAAAATAAATCCGTAAGTACGCGTGACAACATTGCCAAACTGTTGTTTATACGATGCTGGGATACACGTTGGAATGCGGGCCGCTGCATTTGATTCTTCCTAAAATTCTGCTGGTGGTGTACTGCTGTATCGGCAATACGGAAATTTAAAACTGTTGTCCTATTAGAGGTCTGGAGCGAAGGTATATTGTCTGCGTTATTACCATACATATTATGCCTTTAAATTTTAAAATGTATTTATTTCGGTTTCCATAGAAATGTGTGAGGTATATTTATTAAAAAAAAACCTAATCACCCAAGAACATTTCTTAATTTTTAAAAGAGAAAAGTTTTTGAGGAAAAGTTAACGATTCATTCATGGAGTAAATAAACAACGAACCATCACGTGTGTGCTCTTCCAAAATATGTTATTTGTGAAACCCTGGACGTCAAATATATCACTAATTGACACTATTTGTAGCACATGCGCAGAAACTGTATTTTTTATTTATAAGTGTTAAAAAATACTGTCGCGAAGTAAATCGTAGAGGATGTTTTTCAAGGGAAAACTGTATTCCTATTTATCACATGTCCACAATTCCATAGTTCGACTTGTAATACGTAAATAACTTGATAATAATCGTCATTGTGTTTTTAGTTTGACTGAAACATAACAAAGTTATCTCCCTATTCCTAGCCACTTACCTTTCCCAATAATATAAATAACTAGTATGTAAACAAATACCTACGAAGATTAAGATGAAAAATATGTTATTTTATTGAATAGCTTAATATTTCCATTGTTGTTCTTTCACATTAGTGACGTAGATTGCAATCTTCAGTGGGAGAAAAAACGAAACCTAGACAATTGGAAACGAAAATAATTTAATTAATAACAATATTCTGATCGCGACTAGAGTTTGAGGAAAACGGTAATTGTTTAATGCTAATGCTCCAATCTTAATACGTCTGATGCTGTCGTAGGTGTTTTACCTTTTTTCCAGTTATCGACTTTGATTTCTCTATTATTTCTTTGTCTAAGAAGCCTGCTTCTGCAAAACCCGGTACGCAAGCATATTCAGATACGCGAATCACATTTTATTTATGTTTTATTAAAATCTCCTCGGGTTATCTTGTTTACGCGGTTCAAGTACGTGCAAAACGAATTATAAATTAAGCTCGTCTCGTTCGTATCTCTATAGTGTTACACCAAAATGTTGATAAGCACGACCGTTGGGCATATTATTGCGCTGTACATCATTTCCGTTTTTTTAATTAGCGGTAATGCTGCCAAGTCCGTCAATAAGACTCTCGATTATAAAGGTAAGTTTTAACGTACCTATGTTTTTAATACCTACTTTTAAGTTTATTGCGTTTGGATGAAAACGTAAATTTTAACGGTAATTTCAAAGTAGTGAAGAATTTCTTGATTAGTTAGTTTTCTGTAACTCTTTTCAATTTTATAATTATATTATTGATTTTATTCTTGAAAAACGATTCGTTCACTTCTAAATTTTAATTTAATTTAAAATATGCTTGCCACATATTTAAACGAAATTTAAAATATCTCCAAAACTGTTCCACTCACAAAGAGATGCATAGGAATATTTTGTTTACGATTTCTTTTTAATTACGGCGTAACCAACGAAAGTCCAAAAAAAATCGGTTTCGTAAGCTTTTTGTGAGCTGAGTTCCCCACGCTATTCATCAGATAATTAAAAATTTCTACGGCAATGATTTTTTTATTCGATTTATCTGTGGTGAGCTAATATTAAATTTAAAAAGTAGTAAATAGAGAATAACTCGTTTTTTTCGAAGAAAAAGGTAGATATCTCGTTTTTTTGAAACACAGTTACAAATCGAATGAACTGGTCGATTTTTCACTAAGTCAGTGGTGTAGAAATGTTGGGGTTTTCATTGGAGTGCTTTTCAGTCACTACATCTACATCACTACATCCACATCACTACATCTGCAAATACAACTTCAGACATACTTGAAAGAATGTGATATATTTTTAAATTCTTCCATTTTGTGTTGTGAAATAATTTAGTTTTTCCACAGAGTCGTCACTAGAAGATACCTTGCCGAATATAGCTTTGGAAAAATTTGGCAACAAATACTACTATTTTGGAGTTATATATGAGGTATGATTAATATATAATAAAGAAATTCATTAAATTGTAATGGCCCTAGCATCAGCGAGATTTTCAGTTTTTGCCGTTTTCTGTGATAACTAAAAAACCGGGAAATTATACAAACATATAGCTGAATTACCTGTAAGAAAAGTGTATACCAAATTTTTTACAAGTGTCCAGTATTTTCACAAGCAAGAAAATTATGGGGTGACGGAATAAACGGCAAAAAGCAAGCCCTTCACATTGAAACTATTTTTTTTCTATCCTCTATTTTAGGGCAACTTTTTCCAAGCAATACAGTACTGTCACTACCATGGGATGAGACCTTTGAGTATCGAAAGTGTGGAAGAGACTAACTTTCTGATCAGGCAGCTGAAACGATTCCGTAAGCCTTTTTCTTATTAATTCGAAATAGAAACTTTCTGTTTCTGAAGTATATAATTTGAGTTTAAAGTTAAAAGAGAGACATTGAAGGTCACCTAAATTATTTATAAAAATGTATCAATTTGTTGTTCTATGCCTGTACCATTCCGTCATATCATACCAGGTGTGACATCAAATGGCAGTAGCCGCTTTTCAGAGGCGGCAGTAGTGCATTTTAACTGAGCAACAACTTCGTAAGCATTCGGAACAGGATCGTATTCTGCTTAAATTTAAACATAACTCTACATTATTTGATTAAAAAAGAGAATTTCTGATTCGTGTTACACCCTCACTTAAGTTACTTCCTACAGACACTCATAAAAATATTTTTCTAGTTGGTGCTGAGAAGTACAACTTTTGGACATCGGGTACTATCTTACCAAACGACCACTGGGTTTGGTTGGCCACAGGAAAGCCCATTGTATACACACATTGGTTACCTAATGAACCAAACAACTGGGCAAACATTGAGAAATGCTTAGAAGCAATCTACCAGTATTCCGACAAGAAACGTGAAATGGATATGATGTGGAATGATCATGACTGTAATGGTCCGAAATATGTTATTTGTGAATCGTCACAGGCTAACTGTGTAGCTGAAAAAAGTTCCTAGTATACAAAAAAAACAAAGCCAAGAAGGATTTAAGTAATGACTTCCTACGCGTTATTTAAGTTTATTACCTACATGTGTTTGTTTATTACTAAAATGTCAAATAAATTTTTCTGCCACTACTTTCCTTTTTTATTGTGTTTATGAACCTTTGATCTTTGATACTCCAAACATTTCNCCAAGAAGGATTTAAGTAATGACTTCCTACGCGTTATTTAAGTTTATTACCTACATGTGTTTGTTTATTACTAAAATGTCAAATAAATTTTTCTGCCACTACTTTCCTTTTTTATTGTGTTTATGAACCTTTGATCTTTGATACTCCAAACATTTCTTAGCCGAAATAGTTTTCGGTGTTTATTTTTGACCGAATATAATTACTTTTTTAAAGTACGGTGGTTTTTCTATACTGTATGTTACTGAAATGATATTAAATTGATTAAATTCAGCTGGCTTCTACCCAGACCATATATTTCTCCTTAAAATTCAACAATCCATAATATTAAAACATACTCATTTCAGTTTCTCCGAGTTAATTTTGGAGTTTGAAAAAACATTTTATCATATTTAAAGATCTTACATTTAAGGAATCTAATCGTACAACATCAGAAGTTATTGACTTTTATTTGCGTATCTTGGAAATACTGTATCTGCAAAACAACTGATTTTTTGTGTCTAGTTTAATGATACGAGAATTTAAATTTCCTTTGGGACATCTCGGCTTTACAGTTTGCTGTACCTACCAGCAATACCGGTTACCAGCTATAAATTTAGGCGGTCCCACTCGTATGCTCATAGTGTTTCACCAAAATGCTTGCAAGAAAGACAGTTGGACAAATCATAAAATTACATTATTTTTATATTTTCGTACAGTGTCAATAGTGCCAGTTGCATTAATAAGACTGTCGATAAGTTTTAACAATTCATAAGTTTAAAAGACAATAATTTTAATTGTCCATATAGTTGTACAAGGATTCAATAAAGTATACTTTGCCAAATACTTATACCTTAAGAAAAAAATGGAAATAAATACTACTATTTCGGAGCAATTTACGAGGTAGGATAAACAAATAAGTATTAAATTGTCATAGCACATTAAAGAACAATGCACGAAATTTATTTTATTCATAGCGATACGTTATTTGATGATTTACTTGAAAGCGTAGAAGAGAACAATTTTTTGTGGGAAAAACTGAAGCCTTTCCGTAAATCGTTTTCTTATGATCCAGATGCTCCAAACATAATTTTAAAATTTTAGTCTCTGACATTTCTACAGACATTTAAAATATCGCAAAGAATTTGATATACAGGGTGTTTCAGGATTAAGTCGACAAACTTTAAGGAGATATTCCTCATAAAAAAATAAGAAAAAGATCAAGTATAATTTTTTTTCCAGAAACGCTTCATTTTCGAAATATAGGACGTTAAAGATTAAAAAAAAAATCGAATTTTTTAAATAACTTCTAAATGAAGAAGGCTATTTAAGCTAAATTTGGCATGACACATCTTCTTATAAGATACCATTTTTCCATANTTGGAATAGGGGAATTCTAAACTTGCAATTAAGCTTTTAGGTTTGTGCGTCGACTTCCAATATGGTACGATAACACACTTATGTTTAAAAAATTTATTACTGAACTCTACCCCATGCTCCCTCCCTAGGTGTCCTGAAGATGCTGGGGAAGCCCCAGACATTCCTGGAGACAAAGAGAGAGAGAGAGAGAGAATCCCTCTATGACAACAAAATCACTCTATCTCTATCGCACACAATCAGACAAAAATGACAGAAACGACCCTTCCTTTAAAAATACATATGAGAAAATGAAAACAGTAGCTAATTAACGAAATTATGATTAAATAACCGCTGAAGAATATCCGATCGTCTAAGTCATAAGTATCTATTCGTTCATTCTTTAAAACATTTTTATCAATACCTATATTTAAGTAAATACAGTAACGCTAAAAACAGGCATTGATAAAAAAGTGTACAAAATAAATCCGTAAGTACGCGTGACAACATTGCCAAACTGTTGTTTATACGATGCTGGGATACACGTTGGAATGCGGGCCGCTGCATTTGGTTCTTCCTAAAATTCTGCTGGTGGTGTACTGCTGTATCGGCAATACGGAAATTTAAAACTGTTGTCCTATTCCAGTAGCGGTCTGGAGCGAAGCTATATTGTCTGTGTTATTCCCATACATATTACGGCCTTTAAATTTTAAAATGTATTTATTTCGGTTTCCATAGAAATTTGTGAGGTATATTTATTAAAAATACCTAATCATCCAAGAACATTTCTTAATTTTTAAAAGAGAAAAGTTTTTGAGGAGAAGTTAACGAAACTAAATTCATGGAGTAAGTAAACAACGAACGATCACGTGTGTGCTCTTCCAAAATATGTTATTTGTGAAACCCTGGACGTCAAATATATCACTAATTGACACTATTTGTAGCGCATGCGTAGAAACTGCATTTTTTATTTATAAGCGTTAAAAAATACTGTCGCGTAGCAAATCGTAGAGGATGCGTTTTCCAAGGGAAAACTGTATTCCTGTATCATTTTTGAGCATGATGTATATTGCATCTGAACTAAATAAATCTATCTAAAATAAATCTATCTATTTATCACATGTCCACAATTCCATAATTCGTCTTGTAATACGTAAATAACTTGATAATAATCGTCATTGTGTTTTTAATTTGACTGAAACATAACAAAGTTATCTCCCTATTCTTAGCCACTTACCTTTCCCAATAATACAAATAACTAGTAAGTAAACAAATACCTACGAAGATTAAGATGAAAAATATGTTATTTTATTGAATAGCTTAATATTTCCATTGTTGTTCTTTCACATTAGTGACGTAGATTGCAATCTTCAGTGGGAAAAAAAACGAAACCTAGACAATTGGAAACGAAAATAATTTATTTAATAACAATATTCTGATCGCGACTAGAGTTTGAGGAAAACGGTAATTGTTTAATGCTAATGCTCCAATTTTAATACGTCTGATGCTGTCGCAGGTTTTGACCTTTTTTCCAGTTATCGACTTTGATTTCTCTATTCTTTCTTTGTATAAGAAGCCTGCTTCTGCAAAACCCGGTACGCAAGCATATTCAGATATGCCAATTACATTTTACGATTAAAATCTCCTCGGGTTATCTTGTTTTTGCGGTTGAAGTACCTGCAAAACGAATTATAAATTTAGATCGTCTCGTACGTATCTCCATAGTGTTACACCAAAATGTTGACAAGCACGACCGTTGGGCATATTATTGCGCTGCACATCATTTCCGCTATTTTAATTAGTGGTAAAGCTGCCAAGTCCATCAATAAGACTGTCGATTATGAAGGTAAGTTTTAACGTATGTATTTAATACCCTACTGTTAAGTTTATTGCGTTTGGCTGAAAACGTAAATTTTAACGGTAATTTCAAAGTAGTGTATTGACCTTAGTGAAGAATTTCTTGATTAGTTAGTTTTCTGTAACTCTTTTCAATTTTATAAATATATTATTGATTTTATTTTTGAAAAACGATTCGTTCACTTCTAAATTTTAATTTAATTTAAAATATGCTTGCCACATATTTAAACAAATTTAAAATATCTCTAAAACTGTTCCCCTCACAAAGAGATGCATAGAAATATTTTGTTTATGATTTCTTTTTAATTACGGCGTAACCAACAAAAGTACAAAAAAAAATCGGTTTCGTAAGCTTTTTGTGAGCTATGTTCCCCACGCTATTCATCAGAAAATTAAAAATTTCTACGCCAATGATTTTTTTATTCGATTTATCTGTGGTGAGCTAATATTAAATTTAAAAAGTAATGAATAGGGAATGACTCGTTTTTTTCGAAGAAAAAGGTAGATATCTCGTTTCTTTGAAACACAATTACAAATCGAATGAACTGGTCGATTTTTCACTAAGTCAGTGGTGTAGAAATGTTGGGGTTTTCATTGGAGTGCTTTTCAGTCACTACATCTACATCACTACATCCACATCACTACATCTGCAAATACAACTTCAGACATACTTGAAAGAATGTGATATATTTTTAAATTCTTCNCTCGGGTTATCTTGTTTTTGCGGTTGAAGTACCTGCAAAACGAATTATAAATTTAGATCGTCTCGTACGTATCTCCATAGTGTTACACCAAAATGTTGACAAGCACGACCGTTGGGCATATTATTGCGCTGCACATCATTTCCGCTATTTTAATTAGTGGTAAAGCTGCCAAGTCCATCAATAAGACTGTCGATTATGAAGGTAAGTTTTAACGTATGTATTTAATACCCTACTGTTAAGTTTATTGCGTTTGGCTGAAAACGTAAATTTTAACGGTAATTTCAAAGTAGTGTATTGACCTTAGTTAAGAATTTCTTGATTAGTTAGTTTTCTGTAACTCTTTTCAATTTTATAAATATATTATTGATTTTATTTTTGAAAAACGATTCGTTCACTTCTAAATTTTAATTTAATTTAAAATATGCTTGCCACATATTTAAACAAATTTAAAATATCTCTAAAACTGTTCCCCTCACAAAGAGATGCATAGAAATATTTTGTTTATGATTTCTTTTTAATTACGGCGTAACCAACAAAAGTACAAAAAAAAATCGGTTTCGTAAGCTTTTTGTGAGCTATGTTCCCCACGCTATTCATCAGATAATTAAAAATTTCTACGGCAATGATTTTTTTATTCGATTTATCTGTGGTGAGCTAATATTAAATTTAAAAAGTAATGAATAGGGAATGACTCGTTTTTTTCGAAGAAAAAGGTAGATATCTCGTTTCTTTGAAACACAATTACAAATCGAATGAACTGGTCGATTTTTCACTAAGTCAGTGGTGTAGAAATGTTGGGGTTTTCATTGGAGTGCTTTTCAGTCACTACATCTACATCACTACATCCACATCACTACATCTGCAAATACAACTTCAGACATACTTGAAAGAATGTGATATATTTTTAAATTCTTCCATTTTGTGTTGTGAAATAATTTTGTTTTTCCACAGCGTTGTCACTGGAAGATACCTTGCCAAATATAGCTTTGGAAAAATTTGGCAACAAATACTACTACTTTGGAGTTATATATGAGGTATGATTAATATATAATAAAGAAATTCATTAAATTGTAATGGCCCTAGCATCAGCGAGATTTTCAGTTTTTGCCGTTTTCTGTGATAACTAAAAAACCGGGAAATTATACAAACATATAGCTGAATTACCTGTAAGAAAAGTGTATACCAAATTTTTTACAAGTGTCCAGTATTTTCACAAGCAAGAAAATTATGGGGTGACGGAATAAACGGCAAAAAGCAAGCCCTTCACATTGAAACTATTTTTTTTCTATCCTCTATTTTAGGGCAACTTTTTCCAAGCAATACAGTACTGTCACTACCATGGGATGAGACCTTTGAGTGTCGAAAGTGTGGAAGAGAATAACTTTCTGAGGAAACAGCTGAAACCATTCCGTAAGCCTTTTTCTTATTGATTCGAAATAGAAACTTTCTGTTTCTGAAGTATATAATTTGAGTTTAAAGTTAAAACAAAGACATTGACGGTCAGCTAAATTATTTTTTACTATATATTGAAGGTAGTAATACTGACTCGGAAACGATAAATAGAAAACTAAAATAAAAATGTATCAATTTGTTGTTCTATGCCTTTACCAGCCCGTCATATCATACCAGGTGTGACATCAAATAGCAGTAGCCGCTTTTCAGAGGCGGCAGTACGGCATTTTAACTGAGCGGCAACTTCGTGAGCATTCGGAACAGGATCGGATTTTGCTTAAATTTAAACATAACTCGATTTTATTTGATCAAAAAAAAGAATTTCTGATTCGTGTTCAAAAATTACACCCTCACTTAAGTTACGTCCTACAGACACTCATAAAAATATTTTTCTAGTTGGTGCTGGGGAGTACCACTTTTGGACATCGGGTACTATCTTACCAACCGACCACTGGGTTTGGTTGGCCACAGGAAAGCCCATCATATACACTAATTGGGCACCTAATGAACCAAACAACGCGGGAGGCAATGAGAAATGCTTAGAAGTAATCTACGATTATTCCGACGCGAAACAGTCTATGATGTGGAATGATCATGACTGTAATGGTCCGAAATTTGTTATTTGTGAATCGTCACAGGCTAACTGTCTAGCTGAAAAAAGTTCCTAGTATACAAAAAAATAAAGCCAAGAAGGATTTAAGTAATGACTTCCTACGCGTTATTTAAGTTTATTACCTACATGTGTTTGTTTATTACTAAAATGTCAAATAAATTTTTTCTGACACTACTTTCCTTTTTTATTGTGTTTATGAACCTTTGATCTTTGATAATCCAAACATTTCTTAGCCGAAATAGTTTTCGGTGTTTATTTTTGACCAAAAATAATTACTTTTTTAAAATACGGTGGTATTTCGGGTACTATACATTAGGGTAGCCCAAAAAAAAACGATTATTGTTTTTTCGTGTCTCTTATGAAAATACAGGGTGTCTCATAATTAGCTGCCAAGTAATTTAAACAAAAAATAATAATAATAATAATTTTCCTTTCCTCTCTTTCCCATTTAAAGGATTAATTTTTATTTATTTAATTTTTTAATATTATTTTTTTATTAAAATTAGATTAAATTTAAACAAAAAATTTTTTTTTGTTTAAATTACTATGAAATTGACCAAAGTGGGATTAATTCAAGAGCGATTTTCTCAGAAACCGTTAAAGATAACGATTTGAAACAAGAGTACCTTTTTAACGTAAAACAGTTCGGGAATACTTGGTACAGTGCGGTAGTAAATTTTGCCTCGAGAAATTTTTTAAGTGTCTCGTGATTTATTTCTATTCTTTCGTTCATCAAATTCAATAAAAAAAAATATTAGTTTGTTGATATTTATGTTTAAAGGTCGCTCGAAAACATTTTAGGTACTTAACACTACTTCGTAAGTTAAAATAATTATGAGTGACCTTTAGAAATTAAAATATCGATTTGAAATTTTCAGAATCGAAACTTTTTACGACTTAGAAAATGATAAAATAACGAGAACATTTTTAAAAAAAGAAATTCAATATTTGACGATTTTGGAAATTTTTAAAAATCTGTTCAATATCGTGATCGTGATCTTTCACTTCGAAAAATTAAATGAGTCCTTGTCTTACTCAAAGTGACTTGTCTATAAAACGCCAGCATTAAAGAAAAAATCCAGAGGTTGAAATTCTGCGGTCCTATACTTAAATAAACAGAAGCGTTTTCATTGAAGTTGCTTGACTTGTTTTAGATGTACATCTGACACTGCTGTTCTTGTTTAACGTGTTCTATTCTATATTACACAGTGTCCTATAAGAAGTGTTCATTTTGTTCACCTTAGAGAGCATCCAAAGCAATATGGTACGCCAGAATTGAACACTAGTTTGTACATAACACCTGTAGGAAGTAGATGCAAAAACGGTCTAATCAGCTTCACTGTAAGCAACGACAGTAGCATTAACACTTTTTACATTTCTTTTATTTTCATTCCGTTCACCCTGTACGAGATAAAACCTTGCAAGATACACCCACGTGCTCGTGGCGTTTTTTGATTGGAAACGCTATGATAGGTTTTAGTAGTTTTATAAATGTCTGAAGCAAACATGCTAAAATTTATTATTCATTGTGTATTGTGTTTTATTATCTTTAACGATACGTCTGGAAAGCCTGTTAGCAGTAAGTCCTATTTAAATAAAAAATATTAACCCCCACTGTTTGTGCAAGAAAATATATACACTCTATGTAAGATGTAAGGAAAAAACTCGTTCAAATTTTCATCCAGTTCAATTTAAATATACTTACTTTTACACCTTTTACAAGAATCATAATTAAAAATCATCTTCAGTTCAATTTTTTTTCGACTACAGTTTTTTCTTTCAAATTAATGTTTATAAATTAAATTATTCGTGTGTTTATTTCATTTGTTCTACAGATGATACTGAGCTGGGGGTCTATGTGCCATTGGAGACTGATGTCAAAAATAATAAACAATATTATTTTGGGATTGTTTATAAGGTAATTGATTGAAATAAATCACCATGTATCTATTTTCTTGGTAATAATTGTTTTTATGCAGTACTAGGAATAATTTCATCAGTTTCAGCTTGAAATTTTCACTTTTTCTTAGGAGTTAAAATATTTTTTGGTTTTTCCTGCACTTAAAACTAGTTGGTACTACCTAAACTGAAAAAATTGAATGTAAAAATATCGCAGTATCGCCTAAGATGTCGTGTACTATTATTAAAAATGTTGTTTTTAGAATTCAATTATGTTACAGGGCAATATTTTCCAAGCTATTCAATACTGCAACTACCACAATATGGAGTTGTTGAGTATAGAGACGCCAGAGGAAAACACCTTCTTATTTGATACTCTCGTTAACTTCAGTAAGTAACTTACAATTAATTTAGTACTGTTTTAATTAGTAAAATTAAAACGATTGAAATGATGAGATGCGTTAAAAAAACAATCTAAGAAATGACAACCAAGAATAATGTTTTAGCAAACTATTTCTTGCTTTATAAAATAATCACACTTTTTAGTTCTCTAAAATGTATCTAGTTTTCAAACATAACACAATACTTAAAAAGCAAAGTATACGTTACTAGACCGGTTAATTTAGAAGATTTAAAATGTCCAAAAAGAATTTATTAATCGTCTTGGCTACTCTCCGGCAGCACAATTTGAACATTTAATTTAGTCGATTTTTACATAATCATTATCATTTTCAGTATTGTGAAAATTAAATTTTAAAATTTTCAAACATTATTTTCTTGAAATTTTTGTTATGTAACACCATAATTGTTCATGATCTGTGTATGTAGAATGACACGCTCTTTCAAATGGCATGGTCAAAATTGGGGATTGCTATTTAAAAAAATTGCCGATGACGTCATATCTAGAACAACGATGACGTCTCAAATATGGGTCGTATGTCAAAAAGTGCCTTTTTTAAAAACAAAATCAACATGGGATTTTTTCGAAAACTTCTCAATTTAAAAAATAATGAATTTATTCGTTACTTTTCGAAAGCACTGTACATACACACTCGTATCCATTTATAATGTATCTATATAAAAAAAAAATTATTTGATATTAATTTAATAAAAAAATAAGAATAAATTCAGTAAAATTAAAAAAAATTATTATTTATAATTTTTAGGAAATTTTTCTATAAGGGGTAGGGTTTTTTAATGGGGGGTAGTCTTCCATAAGGAATTTTTGGGTGGCTGAAAAGTTGCAATATATCGTAAATCATTTGAAAACCAATAAAATGTTTATAATTGCAACATGTGCATACCATTAAAACATCTCAAGCTTTCAATAATATTTTATTTTATTATAAGGGGTTGTTTTTAAGGGTTCCAACTTTGTAATGAGTCGTAAGTTTCTATTGAACAACAAATGAAATGCAATACATTGTGAATGCACGAAAAGAATATTTTATACTGTTAAAAACTTTTTTTTCTATTTTTTTTGGCCATGGAAGGATCGTTTTTAATGGTTGAAAAGAAATTAAATTTCATAAATTATATAAAAAAACATGAAAGGAACTTTATCCAACTTTTTTTTCGTGCAAAGGTAGTTTTCACCCCCAAATAGAAAAAAACACACATCTAGACAATATAACTTTTGAAGCGGGGGTCAGAAGATCTTGTATGCAGATTTTCAGAAAAATCCATGCTATCCGGAAGAATTGGGAGCTTTTACTTTATTTTCGCCTCACTGGGGATGGACCCTATCGCCTGGATTATTAGATTTTCTATACTGTCATTAGTTTTCGAGTAATTCATTATTAAAGCTAAAAAAATGTTATTATTGCTTTGAACGACGATAACGTGACGGCAAATCATCGTACAAAGCTTTTAAACAGCTTAATTTAAAGAGGATGAATCAAATTGAAAGAGCTGACAGGTGGAATTGCCAAAAAAAAAATTGTTGAAGTCGATGGACCTTTTGGAAAGCGAAGCAAAAATTTTGAAAATTTTTTCCCGCTGGATTTTTTATGATTTCTTAAAGGTGGTTAACGATAAAAAGTTTTGACTTTCAAATTCTGAGACTAGAGACTTCAGGCTTCAATTTAGTTGTTTTTTTATTGATCTACGACCATTTTTTGCAAAGTTATGTCATTTTAAAAAATCATCTAAAATTAAAAATATTTTTTTTTATACTTTAATTTTTGTGACTAGTTTAGTTCGAAATGTAAAGGGGCAAGGAAAACTATTTTATTTTTTTTATTACACACTTTCAGTTGGGACCGGACGATATGGGTTTTGGACATCGGGTACACTCCTACCGGAAAACCACTGGGTTTGGCTTTCCACCGGAAAACCAGTAGTGCACCCTAGCTGGGCCACAGCTCCTTATAACACAAATAAGAGCTGCATAGACGTAAACTATATCAAAACTAGTAAAGCTCTTGTGTGGGCTGACGCCAAATGTAACGACGCACGGCATGTCATTTGTGAAACACGGAACACCAAGAGTTTAGATTGACACGTTGTCGGACCACAGAGCCCACATTTGACAACTTAAAAATATACCTTGTCTTGTGCCAAACTTTTATGTATATTCTGATTTTAATGCTATGATACCTCGCTCAATGTAATTGATACTAAATGCCTATGTCGTATAATCCTTCTGTTAATTTAAAATAAATGTATTACAAGCAAAATAAAAGTCCTGAGCGAAAGGGTGCGCCAGCTTACACCCTGGTTGCGTGCTTGTGGTGTTACCTTACTTCTCAACTGACAAAATTTGGTTGTAGGAAAAATTGAAAGCATACAAACTTTCGCTCACAAGTGGTAGCTTACGTAAACCGCCTAGATTTAAATTTAAATTTGGAAATCGGCTTTGACAGAAACGTACGTAGGTATGGATCATTCCGTACCCAGAACAATAGTCTCCTAAGTATGTATTAAGCTACAATATCCTGCAATTGAATCTTTGTCGAGTAAATTATAGATAGCGATCTATTTGGGTTAATTGAATCAACTGGATTTGCATTCGTTGCGCAATTTTTCGCTGACTGCGGATTGCGAAAGAGGAGGAGGTACTGGTAATTATCGGAAGAATGTTTAATTATAAAAATCCGGCGGTACCTTAATCTGGATATTATAAATTTCTACCTAAGCATTTCAAAACCATGGAATATGTATTTATTTCGTTCGTCTGTACATAAAAACAGTACATTTTACTTGTTTACTTAATTTATTTATAATTCCATAGGTTGCTTAGGTCAGGGGATCTGTCGATATTCAGTGGCCAGCAAATAGTCCTGGTTTCAGTCCTCTGGACACATTTTTGTGGGATTGTCTTAACAGCAGACTTCTTGAAGTGAAACTACGAAATCTTAGGATATTCGTAATAAAATAATTCAAAAAATATAATAAGTAAGTGAAAATCTCGAAAATATAGAAAAGTAACGAATGAACACAATTATAGCATAGCATAGCATAGAACAAAACGGATTGTTTAAGTGTGAAACTGACTTTTAGAACTTTAAACTTCGAGATTTCAAGAATAATTGATTGCGTTGTTTTCTTGGTTTCGGTAAGTCTGTTTTAGCTTATCTTTCATAGAAATAGTAGTCCAAAAAAATTCTAAGAATAGTATATTTTTTCTGTGGGGCATAATCAGCGAAGTTAACCTAAAAAAGTCGTAAAAGTCAAAAAACGAAAAGATTCAAAACCTTGATTTGCAAGAGATACAGCCAAAAACAAAAAAAGTCGATTTTTGACGGTTTTTTCGATACATCTCGAAAAGTAATATAGCAATTTAAAAATATGAATCGATAGGTTTTTTTTAATAGCTATAACTTTCTCATTTAACTTTTTTCGATTGGTGTTAAATTTTTTTTTATTAGCGAAAAACAAAAAAATTCGCGTGTAATTTATTCAACTGATAGTTGAAGTTAAACCGATGAATGATGATCTGATGTTTTACGCAGGCGATGATTTTGACGCTGCACAAACAAACATGCTTGGCATTGGTCATTGGTGAATAATCGTAATACATACTTAATGATGGTTCGTACAAATGTCAATGCCGCGTTAAATGTCAAATATTTTTGTGCTTACACAAGGTGTTCAAACCAATTATAGTGAAGAAGTAATAATACGTGTGTAGCGGGATTTTCGTAATCATCATATTAACATCCACATTATTTGTAAAATTCATGGTATTTAATCGTTAAAATGCAGCTTACGAATAATTATACATGTGGAACCCGTGGTTTTTTAAAAATATTAAGTTATTTTACATAACAGGATGATATAATACCTAAAACCAGATATCTTAAAATATAAATGTTAAATGAGCAGATTGACTCGAGTTAAACCATTTCGGAAGGCGTTAAAAACCTCCTACTGATGTTTTAGACATTGATTTATTATCTCCAAATATTTTAAATGTTCGAAATCAAGGAAATAGAGCGACTAACAAATTAAATTGTTGGTTTTTATTTATTTTATAGTACAGACGAGTACAAATCATAAAAAAACTACTTTCATTTGGAAAAATTGTCTTAAAAAAACACCCTGTATAGTGTATCCCGTCTTGATAAGTTCTAGGAAAAAGTAAAAGAAAAAAATTATTTCATCTAGAGGAACTTCGCAAGAAATCACAATTTATTAATTTTGTTACCCTAATACGACTTTAACAAATTGTTTCTTTTTGTGTTTCATGTTCTAAGATCTGACGGCGTCGACAACGCCACCTGTAAAGGTGGTGGTTAAATAAAAAGTGCACTATTGAATGTTGTATCAAACATAAAACATTTATAATAATTTATTTCTGATTATATAAAAGATTATGGCCAGGCTCAATATTATAAGCACCAGCTTACCTTCACATTTGGACTGTTGCAAGAAAAACTTGTGACATACCTTAAAATTCAAAATAAATAACAAAACAAAAAACTGCAATACGCATTTTGTTAGTCATCTGTATTATAGTACTTTATTTTCTTTTAATTTAGCATCGTATGAAATAAATTGTAAGAAGACTACTTTATCGTTTTCCTTCTTCCTTAATGGTCTGTAAAGATAAATGAAGATGATATTTCTGTTTGTTTTACCCACTGTCACATCAATTACTTTTCTAGACAGCTCACATTTTTTTTCCTGGCGATCGGTGTTCGATAAATCTTTCCAACGTCATCATCTGGGTGCAGCTCCGCTGCAGGCAAATTTTCGCGCATCTCGACGAATTTGTATTCATTAGAACGGAATTATTTTATTAAACAAACAGAGGAACAGGTACTGGTTATATAAATTCCACATTATAATACTTAAGGACGCGGCTAAATAAATATCAGAGATCAGAGGCTAAATGGTGAATACCGTGCTCTCGTCTGTCTTGAGTGTGTTTGTTTAGAACCCGGAGGAAGGTCGTACACTTAAAGGTTATCTTCTATTGATCTACAAGTTAATGGATTGTGAGTATATACCGGTGGTAGATATTTCAACCGCTTATTTTCTCTTTTTTATTTATTTATTTTCTCACATTCGATTAATTTTATAAAATTGTACCAAATTATGCTTTTCCAAGGGAATCTCATTATTATTCGAAAAGTAACACGGCTATAGAAAGCCTTGTATAAATTTTGTGGGTAGTGACTGTCAGATATTATTTCAATAGCGACCTCGATTTAGACAGAGGCCAGAGGAAGTTTTGAAAATGTTAATGGACACATTTGGAGAAGACCATAATATTGAATTTCAAATTTTTCGCCCGAGGGTTAGTTTCACAGATCGCTTTCACTGTCTACCATCTGGTTATAGGCGTACGGATTTAAAAAAAGCGGTTATGAAAAATTATAAATACTCTTAGTGATAAATACAGCGTGATTAACAACTTACCCAAAAAAAAATTGGGAATGCGGTCAGTAACGTAAACAAATTTTTTGTAAAATCCTTATAGATTCTGAGAAGAGACAATACTTCAGAATGCTGAAATCCGATTTTAGTATTAACGTTTTTGCGATAGTGTTCACATTAGTTTTTCAAATGTCAAAAATGGCTTACGTGTATAGCAACTCAGAGTTGATGGTTCGTTTTAATTTATGAAGTTACGAAGGCGTGTTTCTTCGTAAGTGTATCGTTCTGTGCATTTTCAGTGCAACTTCTTATTAGGATAAATCAATGGAGGTGAATTCCCAGTCGAAGAGTATCGTGTTTAACGTGTATATGTAGATAATTATTTTAAGTACTTGTATAAACTTGAAAGGGTGAATTTTTGACTAATTTTTAAGATTAAAAGTTCATATGAACATGGGTCCGCAACGGCTTGATTCTTGAGATAAGAACGTCCAAAAAAATACCAAACGAAAAAAGAATCAAGCCATTGCGGACCCATATTAGTCCAGGAAACCACCGATGACGTGAAACTTGGGCTGTAAGTAGAAAATAGCTCAAGAAACAAAAGTTATATAGTGCCGATGAGCGCTTTCCCCAGGGTGTGAAAAGTAAAATATTGAAAATAACCCCAGTAATCAATCAATTTTAAGCAAAAAGTATCTTATGAACATTTTTTGATAAGTCAATATTGTCTGAGTTATTTGGTGATTGAAAATGTACATTTTTCATTAAGAAAAAGACGTTTTTCAGTAGTTTTTCTGGAATAACTCGGAAAATAAACATTCTATGGAAAAAAACATCATGAACAAAATGAAGTTTTTAGAAAAAGAAAAAGATTGAGTTTTTTTTAGTTTATGTAAAATAACTAAAAAAAATAATATTTTTCAAGAAAAATGCACAGAACATTCTTTAAAGTACTTACTTTAAAAAATCTTTGAAATGAACTTGACTTTAAGTCATTAGCATAAAAATTAACAGAGTTATGATCAAAATAAAACTGTTAATTCGCTTTTTCGGGAAAAAATCAGTACAAAAACTGATGAATTTTTTACGAAATTTAAAATTAAAGGTAATCCTTAGTAGGTTATTATAGCCGGTGCTGAGACTCCCCCCTCCACTTTCGACCTTGGGATGACCTTGGGTGACCTTGGGATGACCTTGGGTGACCTTGGATGACCTTGGGATGACCTTGGATGACGTCATCCGTGACCTGGATGACATTGATAGAGGTCACGGTGACCTTCACTTGACCTGGATGACATTGGTAGAGGTCACGGTGACCGTCATTTGACCTCTGCATATGGGAGGAGGCATTCGACATTGAATGACCTTGNGGCTTAATAAAATTACGCGTTAAAAGCGCTCATGTCGAAACGGTTATCTGGTGTTATGTAATTCAAGAGCAGACTACTTTTACAAAATCGAGGCATGGATTTTTCTATGCCCCGAGACCCTGTTCAGAGCGCTGCGAGTGCTGGAAAGGCGGCTCGCTCGTTACCGAATTTATGCGGTGGCATATATGGGTTACAAAATAAGTCGACTTATCTGGCCTGACCATTGAACCCTACGAACATGAGGCATATCTGCATAAAAAGTTTTGCTTATCTTGGGAAGCCATGGGCAGTAATCAAATATGTAATGAGACACAGGCGTGCAAAAAATTTCAAAATGTGACATTTTCCCTAAGCAAGGTGCCTTTAATTTTTGTTTTCGTTGAAAACTGCATTTAACAAAGTTGTTCGAGAACTCAAGAATACGGGGTTTAGTCAAAAAAGAACAATCACATTAAGATTAACCTAACCTAACTTTACGTATATTTTTACATAAAGTTACGTTAAAACAGGTTATTTCTTTTTTTTAGTTGTTATTAGGTGTCAATTAATTTGAGTTAGACTTCAAGTATTCATTGAAGTGCCTATACTAATTTCAAACGTTAAAAAAATGCAAAAAGACAAAATATAATGTCTCCCATTATTATTTGACGTGATTTCATTGATATCAGTATTAAAATATTTGATAAATCAAAATCCTGCAAAAATACAGGATGTCCCACATAAGAACCGACCCAGGGCAGGTACGTTCATGATTTAGGTTTATTATTGGTCTTCTTTGACTATGATTTAAAGTTAATTGAAGCACTGCAAGGTGTTCATTGGGGATGACACACCCCTAAGATTGTACCGAACTTTTTTCTCATTGACCGAATTGAAAAATAATAATTAATCGACAGCAGAATTTAATTTTAAAAATTTTGTTACTCTTGTTAAATTTTAAAAAACTTTTCAAGAAAAACCGTATTAACTGACACAAGATTTTAACAGGGTTTATTAGAAAATAATCGAAAAGTCAGTAGTAGGCAATGAATTTATCTTTCAAACTTGTCAGTTAGTCATAAAATTGTTTTATTTCAACAATTACCTCTGATTGTTGTCGAGAAAATATAAAATAATTATTTTTATTATATATTTGTGCTTTTTACTTTATACAATATTCGCTTATTTAAAAACTATCTAGGTATTCGTTTTCTTTTTGTAGAATTAGGAGAGAAGTGAAGTAAAATTTATTTGGCCAATTGTCAAATTTGAAAGATAAAGCCTACTACTGACTTTTTGATTAGTCAAAGAAGACCAGTAATAACCTAAATCATGTACCAAATTTGGTTCTTCTACGATAAAGTGTTGTTAGGGGCTAATCACTCCTCATGGGTACAACATATAGGAAAGTTTGGTTAAATTACAATAATTTGGACACGCATACATACACCTGCCCTGTGGTAAGTAACAATACACATAATGACAACTAACTGTTGTCGGTTCTTATGCGGGACACTCTATATAAAATCCCTTGTTATTCACATTTAATATTTTAGTGACGTTAATCAGCACAATTGCAAAACTACACGAATTCATTAGCCTCTGCTCTTTTTATTTTATATTTATGGTAATTCATATTTAGTCGAGTGTTTGAAATAGGCCATTAATGTCAATGGAGAATATATGGAATAAAAAAAAAATTAAAAATTCGTCGAAATTAGGTCGAAAGGTTGTTGATTGTTGAATTTGTTTTCATGGCATTGGGAAGCTCAAAAGTTGCATGATCATTGGTTAGATTTATTTTAAACGTAAAGTTAAACAAAGTTAATGTGATTCAAGTCTATCGAAAGTTTAAAAATAAACAAGAAACAAGTAAACATCATTTACAATAATTACAATAATTTTCGCAATTGTAGATAATTAAAGAGAAGTAAAAATAACAATGAATTGCAAATGTACTTTTTTTTAGTCCTACACTGTCGTCCATTTAAAAAGAACGGAATAATAAATTAGTTTAAACTTTTCACTACAGTTTCTATTTTATTCTTAAGCCGTTATGTAAATTCTTCTTGTGTTATTGATTTACTTTTCTCAAAATTTTAGTTAATATTTAGTTTTATAACCATGATTTAATTATATTATCTGTTTTATACGCAGTAAATTTAAAAAATCGCGATGTTAATTTTACAACCAAACAAAAAAGGTGTTGGTATTGAACATTAACGATTCGAAAATATTTACATCGAAGGCTATTCCTTTACGCACCTTACATTAGGTGCATCCTACCGTTTATTTGCCCGTAAACAGTCGTAAATTTCAACAGTTACGTAAATAATAAATGCCCGCTTGCGCTGCGAGGTTCCGCACACGCGTTACATAAACAATGTTAATGGAAGATTAGTAAGATCGTACAAAAAAAAGTGTTAAATGATTCTGATGGACATACCATCCTTAAACTGATTCCCAAACTTATTGGCGGCGTCCGTGAATGGACCCTGGACCGCCAATAGAACAATGGTAAGAAATCCCGTCGATGAGAACTGCATCTTTTACGAGATCTACGTATTTATTTAAAAAAAAAAACAACAACAACCGGTACCGGAACACGTAGTAAAGTTCGACCTGCTTCTTGGCGGTCGGCAAGGTAGACTAAATACAAATCTCTTTTGAGAGCTACAGCGGGAAAGTGAATAGCAGAAAGTGGTTTGAGAGATATGTTAGCGTTAGCGTAGCTTTCATTTACGCTGTGCAGTCTGCAGGGTTCAGTGGGACCTGGAGGATGTCCCGTTTCTTTTTCCGATTGGCTGGTGATACGCCGTCGGGTTTTTTGGACTTTACGTTTTCCGGAACAACCTCTCCATGTCTTTTTAACCGTTGAAAATATCAAAAACTAACTCTGGCGTTCCTCTAGCATTTCGTCCGAACATTCCAGCAAATCAAATTGAAATAATATGTAATCTGGTTAACAATGACGGAGATTCTGTTAAATTGGAGTCTTCTTCATCAGAATCAACTTTGTGTGATGGTGGTACATTTTTTCCCTCCTCCCAGAGACGCCCCTGCTCTTATCTTTGTATAAATAATACATAATCTAGGTGAGTTCTGAATTGCAGGATGAATATAATTGCGTTGCATAACAGAACGTGACAGATTATAGAATTGATAGTCAAAATAGCGGGAAATGAATGAGGTTCAATCGAATCAGAGTTAGCACTGAAGATTTTGTCAAGATTATGGGTGAGACATCACAAATAAAAAAACCTAAAATAGAATATGAGGTTTCATCAAGAGGAAAACAAAAATTGTCTAGATAAAATGATCTCAAAAACTTAACACAAAACTTATTAAAAAATAGACAAGTTTAAAAAATTAAGCAATATCTAATCGAGAGACATTATGGAAAAGTTTGTAGCTATATACCAATGCCTAACTTTCCTACACGTAACTCAGAAAGATTCAACGACACCAAAAAACGTCAAATTCATTGCATTACTCTACTGCTATGGTTTCGTAGAGCAAAGTAATTTTAAGGTTAATTTAGTAAATTTAGTAAAGTGAAGTTGCAGTAGTTCATTTGCACCCCTCTAACTAGGATTGTTACAGGGATGGTTCTATATATTAACTGACTTTTTGTTTCAAATTATGCAGTACTTCACTTTCTATAGCAAAAAATATAAATATTCCTATACCTGGGCGTATTTTACTTTATTGAAACATTTATATTATTGTAATACCTGTCTTAGGTAGAATGCATACAAATCAAGCACCTAATCAAACACATGATTCGGAAACTATCGATTATTAGTACTAACAACAAAAACTAAATGGTGCTAATTGTTTCAAGTGCCCAAATACTGCAAGCCGGGGCAGCAGATCGTATTTCCTACGGCAATAGCCCGGTGTAGCTCACGTTTGGTAAATATTTGCCGTAAGGCCAAAAATATATACACTATAATGAAGATAATTGTTTTTATTTGAAGCAGGTGTCATAAAATGGTTCGACCTTCACCCAAAACTCCACAAAGAGATGTGAAATACATAATGGGCGATAAACGTGTTATTGACCGAAGGCTATCTATTATTGCATTGTTACGTAATTAGCATAGTTTTTAAAATGCCATTAATTCTGGCTTGTGTCAGGACGGCGTAGATATTTTCACGGACAACGTTACTTACAAGAGCTACTAGGTATATGTATCAGAAATGTTCTTGTTAGTTTAGAAGATTTTACGGAAACAAATCGTGCTAAAATTTGTCAATATAGATTGTAACATTTTTTATATTCAAGTAAACAATCCGTGTAAACAGATCCCTCCAGACTATCTTTTAAATATGAAGTAATGTTTTTGTTAAAGGTAAGTGCAAACTGCAAATTGGTTCTTTGAATGGACGAGAAAATATGTTTTTGATACCACCAGAGTCTCTTTCGAAGTGTTCATTTACAACTGCCATAAAAATAATGGGCAGATGAATCCCGACGCAACCAGATCAGTTGCAAATGTCGTAATTCAAGGCAAAAACTTGCACAATGCCAAAGACAGTGGGATGTCGAACAATAGAAGTTAATTTCAATTAATCCGTTTTCGTCTATACGACACTGAATACGATGTGGTTCGGCTTTACATCGACCTCGCCTATTTGCATTATGCAAATACATTTACAAATATTTTGAATAAGAAACAAACACATTTGAATAACGTTTTTGCCTTTTGGATTTGACTGTCACCCATATACGTTTGGTAAATTGTTACAATAGTTCTGATAACATAACTTTATTGGCTTATTCTTTCTTTAGAATTCTCTCAACAAGGGCTGTAGCTTGATTGACATTTTTTTCATCACCATGTATATTTAGAGTACGCCTAGGGCCTACCTTATTTTCTGTTGAGTACCTATGTATCTATTTCAGTACGTTTAAACTGTATGTTTTTATGTTACAAACAATATAATCGATCAAAATTTCTAAAAATTCCCAAAATTGTTGAAATGAAATCATACCTACCGAATTATTACGTCCTTGCAGCGGTGACCTAAATATTTCATGCAAAATGAAGACAAGACTGGCATTAATTTGTTTACTAATAGGATACGGAGATACGAAGGTAAGTATGTGACTTTTGTATCACAAAACAATATCAAAATTTGTATGCAATATGTAGGTAGCATAAAATTTATCGTTGATCTTGATCAAAATATTTATTTTGTCCAGTTGAAATGGAAATAATCTCAAGTTCAAATTAGTTAAAGCGAAATAAATTATAAACTGCCAGCAAAAACTCGGCAGATCAATTAACTGTAAAAAATGTGCCACTTTATTTTGTTTGTAACTTCAATTTAATGATTAATAATTACATAAATAATTCACTACTTTCTTCTAATACGTCTATTTAGGTGACTTTCTCTTATCATTAACATTGCTCATTTTCTTTTTTAGTAATGAATTATATAAGAAGCGCCAGTTATTAGATACTACGATACGAAAAAATCATATCCATCATGTTTCGTGTTTTTTTTTTAGTTGAATTTTTCTTTTAGGACTTGGGAACAGTGGACACAATGCACCAGTGTTGCCAGATGGAAATTTCTGTCAACAGTAGGAATGTAGCCAAAAAAACAGGAGATTTCTTTTTTCAACAGGAGATTTTAATAAATATATTTTTTAATAGAGGAACATAGAGGTACATGCACAAAAAATAGCAAAATACATAAATGTAGCAGTTCGTTTAATAGTTTTCAATTACATCGGTACGTCATATGATTTGACAACTGTCAGTTGTCAAAATGTAAATCCCGGAATCCCGCTGACGCTGAAGTAAACGAACGAAACGAACTCGCCTTCTATTCTGTTATGCCCAGTTCATATAAACGCGAATTGAGGATTTAAAATTTAAATATGTACATAAACTGGGCTACAGAAAATATAACAGGACTGAAAATATTGACAAGTGACGAACACAGTGCCGTTAGAGAACAGTGTCGTACTAAAATATTCTTATTCTGGGGAAAATTAGTATAATTAACAGAAGATTTCATAGAGAAACCAGAAGAATAGACATTGAGACTAAAATCAGGAGATCTCATAGTGAAAACAGTAGAGCAGGAGAGTGAGAGTGAAGACAGGAGATCTACTGTTAAAACAGAAGATCTGGTAACACTGCAATGCACTGTCAAAGTGCCATATTAGACGCTAGTCCAAGAACGTCCACTTTAAGATCAATGGTCGATTCTGCGTTTCTCTGTAAAACAATTCAGGATTAATATTTTTACAGAATCGTAATTATGCAATTCTAGAACCGTCCCCTATTACGACCTTGGTTACAGAAATGCAAATGAACTACTACAACTTCACTTCACTGATTTTACTGTTGACCTAACCTCAAAAATTACTTTGTTTTGTTCACCTTTCGAACATTGTTGTAATAAATTAGTTATTTGCTAAATGATTTCAATATTTAGATAAATGCAACTGTACTTACCATATTGTACATTCTATTCGTCAAGACTGTAGGAAATAGATCTTCAAGAATTATTTCAAGCAATACTATTTTAAACAAACTATATTTTTACTGGATTAACTGACTGTGGTACCATTTGAACTGTTCATACGACGTTCAAAGTACATTTAAAAAGTTGAACAGTTACTTTGTGATATTCTGCCTTAACCCACAAAACTAACTTCAAACGATTGCAAGTTGAGTATATTCAATTCATCATATAAACTTTGCTTTATGAAAAAAAAATCAGATTCTGCTCTCTTGAACTTCACATCAGATACTTATACGTACATGGTGTTTGTAAATAAGTGCGAAATATTTTAGGGGGTGGTTGCCAGTTATTTTGTGAAAAAAAAAGTTCATATAAACGTAGGTCGAAATATGCTGCGTTTCCGAGACAGAGAATGTTTAAATTTTAATTTTTTATTTATTTTTATTAATTATTTGATAAGAGTTTTAAAGATATCGACTCGAAATTTGAAAAATGCTTTGGAGGGATAAATGTACGTATTTTCGGGTGATCAGAATATTTCTACTTGCACCAATGACGTTCATGCGAGAATGCCACAACTTTTTTTAATAAAAAAATTTTGAGGAAAAAAATTGAACATATTTTGTTGCAAGTTGTGTATTCTTCATTTCTATTGCACTATCTAGTAGGTTGCTGTCAATTTAAAAAACTCTTTGAAATAATGAATAAAAATAAGTAAAAAATTGAAATTTAAACACTCCGTATCTCAGAAACGAAGCATATTTCGACCTTATATGAACTTATTTTCACAAAATAACTTCGGCAAGCACCCCCCAAAATATTTCGCACTTATTTGTAAACACACTGTATAAGTAATAATCCCGTTCTTCTACGTGTAACTTTCCTTGGCGTATTTTTGAAAATAAGGAAGAGGACGGAAGGAGGATGGAGAGGGACGTCTTACAGTTCAAAAACACACATCATCTGTAATGAAGTTTACTTATTTCAGCGATGAGATATAACTTATATACATTATTGAAAAAATGAATTGACTCTCAGTAATACGGAAACTAGAAATGCTATTTTTGTAACACGAGACATTCCCGTGAATACTTATAAATATGGTGGATCCATTACGAAAAGTGTCTTTAAGGATGAGACCGTTACA